CCAATACATGCACAATTTGCTAGCAAAATGGTAAGAATGAATGAAAACCATATCTCTCAGCAAGAAGAATCGGCCAAAATGCGTTTGGCCATGAAGGAACAAGGGGATAAGGAGCAAGAAAGGTTCGAAATTAATTTGATGATGGAGGACCTTGACAAATACACTCCAGAGAGGAAGAAATACTTACGTGGTAAGCAAAATAACATTTTACGAAGGGATGCCACAAGGAGTATATTTTAAGATGACGATTCATCTCAAGACTATCACCCAAGTCTATCAACGAGTCAAGATGGTGGATATCATTATTAAGTTTATGTGGTTTATTAATTGTCCTTTTTTTTTTTTTTTTTTTTTTAAGTTTATGTGGTTTATTAATTATCATTTGTATTAAGTTTATGTGGTTTATTAAATGTCGTTTGTATTAAGTTTATGTGGTTTATCATGATTTTCATGTATTAATTTAGTGATTTTTCAAAATTTATTGGAATTTAAATATTTTTAGGTTAAAATGTTCATATAATTAATTTAGGATAGTCTACATAATTTTTTTTTTAAAGTTAATTTAAAAAAAAATTAACCTTAATTCATTCTTTGATAACCTCTGGCTAAAATTTTAGGTCAGAAGAGTTGGAGCAGAAAAGTTGTTTCCGGGCTAAAACCTAAATTTTTTGGGCTAAATATTTTTAGGTTTTAGGTCACCATTGGAGATGATCTTATGGTTTCTGTAATTTTATGGACTCTCTGTCACCTTATTTCTCTGCATATTTTTTATGTCAACATTATAAAATATTGTGTCAAAAGATAAGGTGACTAAAAGTAATTCCCTTTTAAAAGAGTTTTCTTTTAGTATTTCTCCACTATAAATTCAATCGTGCCTGCTATATGTTCAATTACTCCAATACCTGTACAAGCTTCTATCTTGATTTCAAGTCAGATGTCGGTATAATAATTCCATCGCACCAAGACAAATTTCCAAATAATTTCAAATTTTTAAAGTTTCTTGACAGGCATTTGAATGAAAATCTTATGTGTTTCCTCCCCCACCACTGAAAATATTTGAGATTTGAGACGCCAGCTTTATCGGTTATGGATATACGTGAGACCGAGATTTTGTACCATACAATTGTTTTGTGATTATATCAATTAATTTTGTTCAATTTATTCAATTTGAAAGAAAAAAAAAAAGAAAATGACAACTCATAATGAAATAAAGGGGTGATTCTTCAACAATTTGAAGTTTCCAAGACGTGACAAATTTTCCTTCAATTGACACAAAGTGGATTCTAGCAGAAAGATTGAGAATACAGTTAACAAATATGGAAAGAGAAATTATATTCAAATACTTCAAATTACTTGTAAATACTTTTTTATTTTTTTAATATTTTTTGACACATTACTAACATTTAGTAAAAAAAAATTAAAAGTTAAAAATTAAAAATATACGTGAAAAGTAATTTGAGGTGAGAATACAATCTCTCATTTGGAAATAACACGCGCCTGCCATCCATATCCTTTGGCGTCTGCTTCTGTTTGTTTCTTTTTCTCCTCATTGTTGTATACATGTTCGCACTGCTTTCTCATAAGCTACTATCAAGGAATATGGAGAATGCAAAGCACTTCGTTTTGGTTCACGGCACTTGCCATGGAGCATGGTGTTGGTACAAGCTTGTTGCCCTACTCCGACACGCCGGCCACCGCGTCACCGCGTTGGACCTCGGTGGTTCTGGGATCCATTCCAACCAGATTCATGAGGTCACTTCCATTTGGGATTATGTCCAGCCATTGATGGAGTTCTTAGGTTCTATTCCTGAAGATGAGAAGGTGATATTGGTAGGTCATAGTTATGGCGGCCTTCCTATGTCTTTAGCCATGGAGATGTTTCCTCAGAAGATTTCGGTTGCAGTTTTTGTCACAGCCTATTTGCCTCATTACACTTTCCCCCCCGGAGTCCTCATACAAGAAGTATGTAATTTTTGCATTTATGTTTATATTTTGATTCATTTGTTACATTTCTGCTTCAAAAATGCTGATCGATGTATTTGGTGTCGTTTTGATAACCATCTTGTTTTGAGTTTAAACTAGCTCAAAATTGAAATGGTTGTCAAACAAGCTCTAATTTTCTTTTCGCTAACTTTTTTGTTTATGTGATGGAAATCAAAGTTCTTGAAAAGGACCCCGGCGGAGTCGTTATTGGATTGCCAGTTTACATTTGAACAAAATAACCCGGAAAATCAGTTGACTTCAGTCCTGTTTGGTTCACAATATATGGCAGCCAAATTGTACAAGCACTGCAACCCAGAGGCTAGTTTTCTTACCTTACCCCAGATTAAATCCTAGTGTCCCAATGGTTGATTAAAACACAGTCGTATTGGTTTTGTCTTTGCATGCAGGATCTCGAATTAGCTAAAATGCTGACAAGGCCATCTGGGATGTTCTTGGAAGACATGAACAAGGAAGGGTTGCTTACAGAAGCGAAATTCGGGTCGGTAACTAGGGTTTTTGTATTGTGTGAAGAAGATGAGGTGATGAAAGAAGAATTTCAACGGTGGATGATTGAGAATGGTCCGAATGCAGAAGTGAGATTGATTAGAGAAGCTGGCCATATGGTCATGCTAACAAAGCCTACAGAACTTTGCCAATGCTTATGTGAAGTGGCTATGAAAACACCATAAGATGTTTTCAAATCTCATCTGTTCCCTTTTCTAACTATTGTAAAGGGCACACTTTTTGTCCTTTCAAGTTTTTTCACATTGCTACTCAATGTTCTACAATGTTATCAATTTCAACCTTCTGACGTTTTTGATCGTATGTTTTTCCGTTAACTACTTACTTGACTCACTTCCAAAAGGCAATCAAACACCACAACATCTCGTTAAGGGAATTTTTTGAAAGAAATTTATTTCCCCTGCACAATTTGGGTCTAACACAGAGCGTAACCTAGCTAACCCTAACGAAGGTCTAACCGAACATTACTCTTATCAGATAAAATATTCTGCCGAAAATGCCCTTAACGAGATGTTGAGGCGTGTTCTCATTGTCTTTCGCTTTATAGGTAAGGCAGTCAACGGAGGAACATCCAGCTAAACACACAATAGGATGAAATTGGTAACATATCAAAATTGTGTAGCAATAGGAAAATTCAAGTCATGGCCATTTTCAAAAATCATGTAAACATGGAGTATAAAATTAAATAATGGTGTGTAGAAAGAGAAGAGAGCAGTGTGAATATGATTTTCCCTTCAATATATAATGTAATATCTACAATGTAGTGTGCTGTTTAGGTACATATAATGAAATTATGAAAATTTGGCAGTTGAAGGATACAGAACAAGAGCATGATCATGTGACAAAATGCTATTTTCATACTAGTCTCTTTCCAGTGTTGGTGCATGCACCAAATAGCTAGGTTGCATTGAGGCCACTGATTTTATATGGATAACATCCCAGAAAAAAATAATAATAATAATAATAATGACAAATACATGTGTCACGCACATACAGGTCATATGGAATATAAGTCGTATAATTTTAATAAATGGAAATGGTAAAACATATTGGGTCTACGAAAAGCTCTTTAGTTCTATTAATGGATCCAACAATTGTCACATGTATAAAAAGCAATTGTCACATATATAAGCATGTGACTTTAAGAGTGTTTATTATTCCAATTTAGAGTTGAGAATATTATTCTACGTTAAAAAATGAATTATTATTTTAATCGCTGTTAACTGATTGGAGTTAAATGCTCACATTTTAATATTAGCGTTGCAAGTCAAATAATGTTTTTAACTTTTTAGTGAAGGATTGTGAAAGTTGGAAGAAAAATTAAAACGTGTGGTTTTATTTGGAAGTGCGTCTCTTCTGTGTGATCGTTGATGGGTTGAAGTAGTCACTAGGTGGTGTCCAGTAACAACATGATGTCGTAACCATTATCTAGCCGCCAGCACAGTAACCATTAGGGGTGTGCTATCCACACATCCCATTTTACTTCTCACATATTTTTTGATAATTAATGTTCGTTGATCTTCTTCAATTCATCTGATCCGACGACCAAAAATTAAAAAAATGTGTGAGAAGTAAAATAAGGTGTGTGAATATCACTCCTAATCATTATTTAGCCGCCAGCACAATGGACAATGATAAAGTGATGGAAAGTCTTGTCGTCAAAAGAATTGTGAGTTGGATATTTTTCCTTTGGGACACCAGCCTCAACTTATCAAAAGAAAATTTCAAAGAAAATCAGATGATGCTTGGGTATTTATTGACTATGTAATTTGAAGATGATATTTGGTTGCAGTTTTTGAAGAGAGGCGTTAGTTTTAGTTGGATTTTCGAAAAGAGACGTTAATTTCGAGAATTATGGTTTGTTAGTCAAGCTTTGGAAAAGAGGGTTTGTCTAGTTGGTATTTCAAAATGATTAGCACTAGTCCTAGTTGGGCTCGAAAAGAGGCATTATTACTGATATATTATGATTTGTTAAGCTTTCAAAAAGATCAGCGTCAGCATATCAATAAAAAATTCAAGATATCAATGAAGATTTCATGCACGTGTGACTCACTAAATGCATGGTACCAATTGAGGGGGGTTTTGAATTTACTTAGTTTGAATTAGGTTTTACTAGCAAGATTGCCCGCGATGCTGCGGGTTTTAAAGCTGTATAAAACATGTCAAAATCCTAAATGGAAACATATACTTGTAATGAGGAACAACATAGGTCTCCAGGGATGGAGTACTTTTTATATAAATGTGAAAATTTATTTATAATCTTATTTACAATGAGGAACAAAATTGACCAAGGGTGGAGTAATATTTACATGAGTAACAAAATGTGTCCATGGGCAGGGTTCTGCATTAGGTAGAGCTTTCTCCTTTCTTCTCACATGTAGGTTCTGTTTTGTCTGTTACATAATTGGAAAAAACAGAAAGTTGTTAATGTACGTGAATAACAGTCTTAGTGCAAATGGGAGAACAAATATGGGTGTGGTTTGAACAATAGATGATAACAATGAAAATAAGTTGGAATAGTATTGCCTTATTTAAGCAAAAAAAGCTCCTAAACTTTACAGCCTATATGAATCCAAGTTGCCACTCAAACTCAAACCAATCAGTTCAATCATGCTCAAACTGATTAATACGTAAGAAAAAGTTATAAATTATGTTTAGCACACGTGTAAATCAACACTAATTATATAAGTTCAAAGTTTTTATGTGAGTGAGGAATACGCATTTGGTCGTTTCTTAGAAACACTATACCAAATTCTTCTGTCCCCAATTCCTCGTCTTACACCTCAAATCCAGTATTTGTATTCCTAAATTGTCCACAAAAAAGAAATTTCAATCCGCGCAAATAATGTCACAAACTCAACAGTTGATATATTCTTTGTTCACACAACTTATAACACCAACTAAAAGTGGTGAACCACTAACTTCAGCACAATGACAGAGTAACAAAACTTAAACAAAGGAATGGTATATGCTGTGAAGAGGTTGTTAAAACTTGTAAGAGTCAATCAATAACAACAACTTCAATTAATACATAGTTTGTTGTACTAGGCACATGAACATATTCAAAAGAAAATTCTAGTTAAACCTAGAAAGTTTTGTATTGAGGATTGTGGGTTTATCAATGAAGTAGAAGATGGTGGAAAAACTCGTATGCTTCCTCTCTGTCCTATTAAAATCTGATGAATAAATTGTAGTCTAATAATTACCAGAACTCCTCAATTAATCAAGACATGTTCAAATTCACACTAAAATAATAATTGGTTCCGGACCCACGATTCATCAAAATTCATGAATTATGACCCAGATTTTGAGATATTCATGTGAGGGTTTTCTTACATGCTTCTTTTTCTGTGTATGAAAACTAAAAGTCAAACACTGTCAGCAAAATGAAAGCAAATTATACTAAAAACAGTGAGAAAAAACAGAAATTATATATAAATATATATATATAGAAAGAGAGAGAGAGAGAGAGAGAGAGAGAGAGAGATGGCAGAAGCAAAAAGCAACAATGATATTTGGAAGAACGAACATACTATACATATCTCCTTTTCTTTTTCCCAATTTATATTTACTTTTCCCTTCTCCTCCTTCAAGGGTCTCTTTACTTTCATGGTTAACTTTTTACTGTAATTGTCTTTTATCCATGATGAAAAGCACTTCTAATGCTGATCTCCTTGTTGGCTCAAACCATGTGGTATATTCAATCCTTTTGGGCATATCTACCATGGTCGTCTAAAATAAGGGATGAAAAAGGATGATGGGAGTAAGAAATAAAGGAATGAAAACAACTTAAATAAAATGTTTTTACCCTTCATTTTGTGCAGTCCTATTAGATTTCTTCTTCTAGATTTCTCCCATGTATTTCTACTTCCTCTGTAACGCAAAAATGAAAAATAAAAACTAAAGATATGAAATGCTTATAAAATAGGCCATACATTTTCATGTCCTAGATAAAGTTCCATGTTAATGGCATTACTGACCGTAATCTTTATGGGCATAATGGCTGACGTACCGGTGCGAGGATATGTTGGTTGGAACTCAAGGAGTGCTCCGTTGGTTTTAGAGCCAGGTCTTCCCAAGGTACATGGATATACAAATCCTACCTGGAGACTGCATAGGAGGGATAATGCATTCAAAGACTTTAGTAATTCACTTTATAATGAGTTACACATTTGATATTTGTGTCAAATTCGTATGAGCAGTACTTCTAATTGTGTGTATGTGCGATTGCGCGTAAATGTACTAAAATCAAACTCAGGTTCAAGAAGATATAGAATATACTGGAAGTCGTTACCAACAGAATTCGCAGAGGATTCACTTTATGACCCGCCTAGTGCTGATGGAACCAAAACTGTGAACATCGTTAAAAGCAGCCTTCAGGTGAGTCTTATGAATTGCAGACTAAGCAATGAGATTTATGATGCATTCGGATATCTCAACAAATTCAGTTGAAAAAAAATTATATTCCAACAGAAATAATATTGAAAACACAAATTTGAAAACCCAATTGCCATAACAAATAATACAATTATTACCTTGCAAGAGGAGAACAGGATGAGTATTGAAATCGAAGCAGCCTTCTCGACAACCTCATCTGGTAACTTGTTAATCCCTTCATCAGAATCACACATTATCTAGTACCAACCAAACCAAACAATTAACTAAAAAAACCATCAACAAAAACAACAACAACCAAGCTTTATCCACTTGGGGTAGGCTTAATTAAAAAATCCAAAACTTATAAAATTTAAACCCTAACTACTGGGAATTTAGATTGCAGGCAACCAACCTCTACTTGTTTTCTGCCCGTATGCGTTCAAGTTGCAGACTTTTAGTGGACGCCATCAGACTCGTTTGCGCTCATGACAAAAACAGTGAAGCAAAACCTCTAAACATGCCCAAATAAACAAACATTACGTTTAGCAAGTGGTTCATTGTTGAGGGCAACTGACAAATGCAACAAAGAAAAACTACAATCTGTGAAAAAAATTAACAAAAACTAAAATTTCAAGCAAGAAAAATGATGTTTTTTCCTCCTGTAAGGGACCATACCAGTATCCGATTCAATCGAGGGTTTTTGTCTTTTTTTCGTTTTTTAAACTTCTGAGTTTTTCTGCTCGGATTCTAAGACGACCCACGATGGTGGTGTCCATAACCCCTCTGTAGATTGTTGTGAATGTTAATGGGGGTTTTGTTGGGTGGGCGTGGAAGCCCAAATGGGCGAGCTTGGTTGGCCGATAGCTGTGCAGAAATCAAACGATATCGGCGAGGATTTTCAAGATTCCGAATCTAAGGAAGAGAAAAGAAATCTACCTTTGGGGACGTCTGAGTGGTGGTGGTGGACGCTGGAAATGAGAGAGGACTGAAGAGATTTTTGGTTCTTGAGAGAGAGCTGGAGAGATCGAGAGATCTGTACTGGAAGCAATAGAAAAGCTTACCGCGATGACCAACACGTGGCCTTATGCTTTCGAAAAGGGATAACGACAGCTGGAACTCAAGGACCATTATACCCACACGTGTACCACAGGGATAAAACTGCCATTTTACTGTTAAGATTGAAAAATAAAAGGGCAAACAAACAGCAATACAGGGGCTAAAGCGTAAAATCACTGTTAATAAACAGTGTTCATCAACTGAGTTTTAGTATATATAATTTCCTTTTTGGTAAAATCATGATTCCACATCATGAGTTTGAGGGTGTTGGAAAATATTAAAGAAAAATAGGCCAAATTTTTTTCATGGTCATTGTGGTGAGACCTTAGTTTTAATCTGACCCTGAAGTGAAAAAACTATAAATCATGGCCCAATGGTCAAGTCCTTTAGAAATCGTAGGGCGAATTATAATTTCTTTCAAAACTCTATCCCCATAAATGGGTTAAAAGGTCAATTTCGTTCATTGTTATAGAAAACTTAAAAAAAAAAACGCACCCACCCATCTCAGCAACGAAACTGTTGGAGTATGCTAAAAAAGTAATTGACGCTACAACACATGACCTTATTCATTGCAACCTAATGTCGAGTCGTCAATGACAAGGGAACGTGAGAGCGTATGTCGGTCAAACACATGACCTTACAGCAGATTAGGAAGGTTCATTAGTGTTTGGGGCGATTCCAAGGAATACCTTAAGTTATAGGGACAAGACCGAGGTTTCAATTCTGGCATACGCACATTGCGGATCTTAAGTCCTAATGATGTTCCCAACCATAATATGAAGATACATGAATGCACAATAAGGAACCTGCCATCTTCTAGGTAATCATAAAGGTAGATATTCCTGGAGCCCATCAAAAATCTACCTCCATAAGTCTTTGCCCAAAGCAATATACTTGAGATTCATCGGAGCGATCATGTCTATATATGTAGAGTTTGACAATTAGTTCCATGCTCTAAATTACATGATCTGAATATAGTAGACAGAAGAACAAAATTACATTGTAACCATAACTAGGGTTCAAAATATATGTTGTATGAATTCAAACATATTTTGATTAATCTAGCTACCTCGAAAGCCATTACTAGATGTCACTATTTAGTTTGTAGATAAAGTGAATTAGAATGGTTTCTAATTATGTAAAATCTATGAAGAACTTATGAGAAAGATGGTTTTGGAAATGTATATATACATGTTGTGATTATACGCCAAAAGCGAAGAACATTTACGCTTGTTCATGGTCGAAGATTTTTGAAAAATTATGGGACTTGCACTGTAGTAATTCGCGCGGAGCATCTACAACTTAGCATGGGGAAAAGCATGACTGATAAAAAATTGAACAAAAATATCGCAATGTTTAACTTTATAAGGTATGGAAACATCGAAATCCACAAAATTGATGTTGGGTTTCTAGGAGGGCTGGTTTAGGTTCAGCAACCGGCCCTCAAATAAAAAAAATTGATGTTGGCTTTGTTATGGAAACACTTTCACAAAATTGACGAGAGAGAGGTGGCCGACGATAAATTGATAGACGAATGGATGGTGGAAGGTCGAGAAGGAAAGAGAGTCTGTGCAAGCCAGAGGTGGAAGATGAATTTGGTGGGACTGAACAATGAATTTGGAGAAGATGAATTTGGAGGTGTGGCGTAGTGTGGTGTGGATTCGCCGGAGAATAAACAGAGAGAGAGAGAGGGTCAGGGTCGTCGAGGAGAGGGCTTGGTTGTCTGGGAAGTTCTGAGCGAGAGAGAGATTTTTTTTAGGAAGTTTTAACGAAAAGCCTATGGTACTGTTTATTTTAACGAAAAATCATATTTTTACACTAAAAAATCAAATCTGGTACTATTCATTTTACTCTTTATTTTGTCTTTATCATTAAAACTCAAAATTTTCAGATATTTTTTATTAGTTTTTCTTATTTTTTATGAACAGTTGAGATCTAATCTTAATCAAATCTAAAGGCCACGTATGTCAAATACGCGCGCGCATATATATATATATATATATATACATTCAAATCGGTATTACCGGCCAAACAGAGTTGTGGTTCCGATCTCCGTATTGAAGTTTCCATGATTGTTTGACTTCGAATACATAATGGTTCGGTATTACTCGGTTTGGTTTTTTTTATGATGAGACACTTTAGGATATTCCAAGAGGAAAAAGAGATTCTCGGATCAATCAATATAAGGATGGGTAATGTTATCTATAGATTAATTTTTACTTTTCACACACGTTTTTCAATTTTCAATCGTCAGATCTAATCAATTGAAAAAGATGAATAACAAAAAATAATAAAAATGTATAAAAAATAAAAATGAGTATGTGAATAGAATTTTGAATTTGAGTATAGATCCTGAAGTGGTCAAAAACAAAAATGACTGGGCTGGGCCAACCTGTCCAGTCTCCCACGTAGATCCGTGCCTGGTTGATGTTTGGGTTGTAAAACATGGGAAGACATGGTCGTGTGGTGGAAAATTATTAGTTTGTAATTAGAGTGGAATTTTCGTATATACATACATTTAGGGTTGGGGCAGCCTAACTTTCTCATCTTTCGTAGGAATTATTTTCCCCTTTGCTTTGATATTTCAATTCCCAATTATATGCTATGGTATTCCGTTGTTCTATGACAGTTTTAGATGCACTGCTTTCTTTTCTTGTTATGCAATATGCAGGGATCATGTTTTGCTAAATATGATATTGTTCGCATGCTAAACTGAAATCTTAACTATTATTTTTCCCCTTTTCATAAAAGTATTTTTAAATAGATTGGCGGTGTCTCAATTTGGTGACAGGTGATGGAAAAATATTACGTGAGCTAGCTCACTCGTTTTCTATCAAGGTCTGGATAAATTAGAACTGAAGGATAAGATGGTGGGGGTTGATGCACACTATGGCTGTCTACCTTCAACGCAATTTGTCGAGAAGGAGAAAAAGCAAATTGACACATATCAATCCATATCCTCAACTCCCATGTTATTTCTAGCCCAACCAGGGATTTCAACTAAGAAACACACAGTTAATATCACTTGGAGTTCAGCCTAGAAAGAAGCTGTATCACACTTTAGTTTACAAACAAAGAGCTCAACATGTGAAATTTCCCCCTTTATGAGGAAGAAACCCTAATTCAGGATACCCAATACTTAAATACCGTTGTAATTGCAGTTCTTAATCCAAAATCATGCGATTTTATGAAATAAAATGAAGAGCCAAGTCAAGTCGGAGATCAGGTGATAAATCTGTAGAAAACGATGACATCGGGGACCAAGTTGGGAGGTGTTACGACCCATCCTTGATTTTAAGCTATTTTAATCTTGAAGGTGTAAAATGACCAAAATGCCCCTAGAACGGTACGTGTTGACTTTCGTTGACTGGTATTTGTGAAACATATAAACTATTGTTTTAGTGTATTTTCATAGTAATCGTTGTTACGAACGCGTAGGTACAAGCGGAATGAGAATCAGACTTAAAACAAAGTTTTACGGGACAATGAATGCAAAGGCATTTTCGTAAATTCACTCTATTTATGGAGAATTCTTGTAACATCCCACATCGTCTAGGGGAGTGGATCCTATATGCCTTATATGTATATTCTCATCTCTACCTAGCACGAGGCTTTTTGGGAGCTTACTGGTTTCGGGTTCTATAGGAACTCCGAAGTTAAACGAGTAGCGCACGAGAGCACTTCTATGATGGGTGACCCACAGGGAAGTTCTCGTGTGAGTTCCCAAAAACAAAACCATGAGGGTGTGGTAGGGGCCCAAAGCGGACAATATCGTGCTACGGTGGAGTCGAGTCCGGGATGTGGTGGGGGCCCGGGCTGGGTGTGATAATTTGGTATCAGAGCCTAACCCTGGCCATGGTGTGTGCCAACGACGACGTCGGGCCCTTAAGAGGGGTGGATTGTAAGATCCCACATCGCCCAGGGGAGTGATCCTTATATGTATATTTTCATCCCTACCTAGCACGAGGGCTTTTGGGAGCTCACTGGCTTCGGGTTCCATCGGACAATATCATGCTACAGTGGTTTCTCTGCAACTCTCTCTCCCTTCTCTGCGCTGTCCCCCTTCTCTTTGAAAACAACACACACATACCTACACATACATACTCACATGGTTACACCTAGTCGCCATCTCAGCGAAGGAAGAAACGGATACCAGTCTTCAAACTCATAAGCTTGGGGAACCACAACGATGAACCCTCGATCTTGGTAAGCTTCGAGACTCTCTCTCATTAATCTTTCTCTTAGATCAATCAAACTCTAGTTAGGACTCATCTTAGGTGCTTTGGTGAAGGTTTGTAGTGAGGAACAACTCGGAGGGTGTTTTCCCAGTTTTATTGGTGAGTCCAACGGCTTTCGAGCCAACTTCCGGCCAAACCATGGTGAGTTGGCTAGCATGCAAGGTATCAATCTCTTCGTCTCACCGAGTACTACAACTTTCCTTTTTGTTTCACCTAATTTCGTTGAGTATTGAAGAAGTTATATCTATTTGAATCTTACTTAGTTTTTGGCGACCTCCGACACTTTTGAGGCGTTTTATAGCCAAACCATGGCCAATTAGATATCGTGTAGGTACCATTCTCTTCGTCTCTTCGAGAGCTACGATTTTCATTTTTGAATCACTCGATTTCGTTGAGTATTGACAAAGTTATGGACGTTCAAAATTTGTCTAAATTCCGGCCGAATTCTGACCTTCTTCTCCGGCGTGAAACCCAACCTAAGAAACCAGCCAGGCCTTCGGGCCGTTCCTGCCAAGCCCAAAAACCTGCCTTTTAGGAGCTCACTGGCTTCGGGTTTCATCGGAACTCCAAAGTTAAGCGAGTAGCGCACGAGAGCAATCCTATGATGGGTGACCCACTGGGAAGTTCTCGTGAGAGTAACCAGAAACAAAACCGTGAGGGTGTGGTCGTGGCCCAAAGCGGACAATATCGTGCTACGATGGTGGAGCGGGCCCAGGATGTGGTAGGCCCCGAGCCGGGATGTGACAATTTGGTATTAGAACCTAACCCTGGCTATGGTGTGCTGACGAGGACCTCGTGCCCCTAAGAAGGGTGGATTGTAAGATCCCACATCGCCCAGAGGAATGATCCTTATATGTATATTCCCATCCCTACCTAGCATGAGGTCTTTTGGGAGCTTACTGGCTTCGGGTTCCATCGAAACTCCGAAGTTAAGCGAGGAGCGCGCAAGAGCAATCCCATGATGGGTGACCCACTGGGAAGTTCTCGTGAGAGTTCCCAGAAACAAAACCGTGAGGGCGTGGTCGGGGCCCAAAGCAGAGAATATCGTGCTATGGTGGTGGAGCAGGCATGGGATGTGGTGGGCCCTGGGCGGGGATGTGACAATTCTTTTGGTTTGTTTGGGTTCCAATGGGACTCACATCCCTCTCCTATTTTCCAAAACTCTCTCTCCCTTTCTTCTTTCCTTTAGAGAATCAAACTTAAAACAAAGTTTTTACGGGACAATGAATGCAAAGGCATTTTCGTAAATTCACTCCATTTATGGAGATTTTTTGGTTTGTTTGGGTTCCAATGGGACTCACGTCCCTCTCCCATTTTCCAAAACTCTCTCTCGCTTTCTTCTTTCCTTCACATGTTTTTTTCCTCCCTAGAGCCACACACAACCATCACAGTCCAACGAGTTTTAACCCCATAAAAACCACTATCTTCATCATCTCTAGCTCATCATAAGTTAAAAGACCTCATTCTTGCTGGAAAACATGAAGCCGAGCCTCGGACCCTCGACTTCGACAATGCTCACAAAATTTCGATGAGGTTTTCTCATTCAAGGAGTAGATGTGAGTAGTTCCAGAGGCTCTAGAGAACAAGCCCAGCTAGAGGAAGACTTCATTGAGCACCAGATTTAGTAGTCGTAACAGTGATCACATCAGACGTCGAGGTACATTCTAGCAGCTCTGACATATTCCTACGAATTATGGTATTTACTCAACTTATTCATAAGACTTGTATTTGGGTAATTATGCTCTGAACCTATTGTTTTGCATGTAGTAAAGAGTTTAAGGCCCATTAGGTGTGGCCCTTCGAGGATTTGTTGGAATAAAGGTGGTTGTTTGCAGGTATTTTAATTGGGCTCATTCCTATTTTAAGGGAAACTCTACCAAAATTTCGATAGATTTTAATAGTTGAAAACTTTAGTTATGACTTCATGCATATCAAGGCTTCCTCACCTATCTAGGTGACGGCCAACGCGCCTTAATTTTGATGATCAGTAGACATCAGGGTCAGGGTGTGTTAGGAGGGCTTACCTTGATGGTGAGGTCAAGATGGTGAACCTAGTCAAGTCAGAGACGAAGTTTGGCAAGTTAGAGAGGTCAGAGTGAAGGAGGTGCTCACGGAGCACGTGAGAGGAAGAGAGGTGTATCGAGGCCAATCAAACCATGGGGCGAGCGCGACGATGAGCGAGGTGTTAGATGTTTGACGTCGAGAGGAGAATATTCTAGTTTGGAGGGTGATCGATAAGGTTGAGGTATCAAGTTTGAACTTTGGAGTCTAGGGACTGGAGGCAGGGTATGAGTTTGGACTCTGGAGGCAAGATGGGACGAGGGGTGTATTAGTTTGGGTTAGTGTAAAATATAAAACAACGTTGTTTTAAGGTTTAGATATTCGGTTTGGTTTGCTGTCCTAAGCTTTGAATGCGGAACCAAATTAATAGAATTCAGTTCAGTTTGGTTTCTCTAATTTTGTTTGATTTTTCTCGGTTCAGTTTTTTCTGCTTTGATTTAGTTCGATTTTATTTTTTATTTTTCGAATCTACCCTACATCTCATGGTATACTCCTTATAAATCGATTTGTAAACGGTATATGCCATGAGATGATACCTTATCATTTCATACCATGGGAATATTTAACATTTATTTTTATTCACACTGAAGTTATCCGAACTCATTCCGGTTTTGAATTTCCTTGCAAGGCAATTTGTTGGTTTATAAGTGATTTCCAATTACATTTAATATTGACTCGACTTTTCAGAAGTTGGAAACTTGTCCTTACGCCAACTTGACCCACCAACCAAATCGATTTCCTTCTTGAAACGGTGCTACCAACTTGACCCACCAACCAAATCGATTTCCTTCTTGAAACGGTGCTACCAACTTGACTTGGTGACATTGTTAGGATGAGGAGTCAACTGAATATTCTTTCCAACAGACTTCTTTGTTTCATTGGTAACTTTTGGCCTCTGTTGGACTATTAGTTCTAGTGTAGCTTGTACGTAGACGCTTCTGGAAAAATTATTAAATTTCCGACTTAAAACCCAACCCTTACTAATAAAGGAAGTATCATCGCCAGTGATGGCTGTTGTTAGACTGGGCATCACACAAGATAATTTACATTTTGACTCTCTCTTAGGCAAGTGAATTGGAAATAGAATGAAATGGGTTGATTGCAATCTTATTTATAGACAACCAAAGGGTATCACTCAAGTCAATAGGTATAAGTCTTGTCAAATTGTTGTAACCCTTGTCAGAGGTGTAATCCTTTATTTTAGAGTTATATTTCTTGGTACATTTGTTGTACTCGGTTCACATATTAAAGAGATGTATCTCTTTATTGTGAACTAATGCCTTTTTTTCTTGAGTTACACTTCTTGACCAATATACGTATTACATAGATGCATTATTTCTTTATAAGTAACAACTTTTCACCATGAACGTCACATAAAATTACCATATCACCACATAGACCACAAAAAATTTCGACCAAATTCTTTTTTGGGGTAGAATAAATAGAGATTTTATGTTATTACTTTAAATTTAGGTTTCCTTGTCCTTGTGAGCTAATGATTATTTTGATTTATTTTCTAATACTCCTTAATTGTATTATATAAATACCTCCTTACGGTGAACAAAAAATATATTGAAATTGTATTTGAGAATTCTGAGATTGTTGAGTACTTCATACCTCTTTAGCTAAAGTTCATGGACACGTATAATTCTTAGTACTTATCCCTTATAAAACAATCTCACTTATTTGGATAATAGTATAATACTTGTTTGCTGATCTAACCATCTCTGTATAACTGTGTTTATGAATATTTCTCAGCAATGTTTTGGAGATGGAAGAACAACTCTACGGGTTTAGAGAGCATGACCATGTGATCAGAACCGTTTATCACTTTCACTTCATTTGGTGGATTGCTTTTTATCATATAATTTTGCACATCCATTACTATCGCATGGTCTTCGCTGGACACGATGAATACTCTAGGAACTGATCCATACTTCTCTTTCGTGAGTTTTATTACATCATAATTGTAGCGAGGAATAAATCTCACCAACGATAACGCTAGGGTTAAATCCTGCACATTTTATAAATCACCAACCAAAAAGAAAAAAAAGTATATTTAGCTAAGTATTTATTATCTTTCCAGTGCGTGTTAAGAGAGCACGAATATATAAATCACCAACCAAAAAGAAAAAAAAGTATATTTAGCTAAGTATTTATTATCTTTCCAGTGCGTGTTAAGGTTCCTATCTATTGCAATAGACACACTTTAAGTCTAAGACTTACCTGTGGTGGTGAGAGCTGGTACAAGCTTGTCGCCAAGTCCTTAGGCCCAAAGAGAAAGGATGTTGCAGGGTTATTGGTCCCGTTATCATATCTGAATTGAGAGTCCATATAATCCAATCTTTTCTTAATCTATGCATTTTTCAGAAAATTATTTGTTAGTTACCCTTACATATCTCATTCAGTAGGATTCAGACAACAATGAACAAGAGATCAGACATACGCACACATACATAGTCCCATTTAATTTATAGATCTCTCAAATGAGTTTATCGAAGGGATCTCTTGTAGGTCTAATTCTCAATATATATAACGGTTGAATTAAATAATAGCCATTTTATTATTTCTTTGAAGAATCGTATTTGTCTATTTTTTTTCCCTCTAATTTGATTTATGCTTAATAGTTTTGGAGTGAATTTTTTTTATTAAGATGATCTATGAATGAACTACAATAAGACAATTCAGATCATTGTAAAAGTTATAAAATTGGCAATACAAAGTGCCTCAAATAAGTTTATTTGAGGGAACCCTCAACGGAGAGATATGGTTATGCCATACTTATTTTTTTGATTCACAAGATACGATGAATAAGGTACGACATATGATCAATTTCAACTCACAGTAGAGCACTATAAAGAAGACATATAGTGCAACTCAATCTTTGTGTGTATGAAATTCATTACCTCTGATTGTATAGTTGAGAAATTGAGAGTAGGACCAGACATGACAGCCGTAACATATACTGCAGCAGCAATTTTATGAGGAAACCTCTCCATGAAAATAGATATGACGGCTCCACCAAAGCTGTGAGCCACAAGGATAACCTTTTCATTTGGTGGTAGAGACACCATGAGCTTTGTCAAAGGCTCGACGTATTCTGATAACGAAGGCAGTTGCTGTACCTGAATCGGGTTGATCCCTGATGCTCCCAAGTCTAGAGCTGTGACATGATGACCTGAGTCCTTCAGGAGAGTTGCCACCTTATACCAGCTCCATGCTCCATGACAAGCTCCATGTATCAACACAAAATGTTTTGGACTTTGAGTTTGGTTGTGAATGGGGGGCGAGGATGGGGTTGAGGTACTAGCTTTTGCTAAGCAAAGCTTCTCTGTTATGTTCTCCATCTTCTCTATCATTAACGCTCAATTTCCTTGATGGTTTGCATCTCTCGTCTTGCTTTCATATGTAGACACGATCAGAGAATTAATAATTGACTCAGAAGTCAAAAGTCTCGATCAGAGAACTAATAATTTGCTCAAAAGTCAAAAGTCATTGTATTTAAGTTGAAAAGTAATCTTTCTTTCTCGTCAAAAGTTGAAAAGTATTCCAAAGAGGTGGGCGAAAAAATCTCTCCCTCTGAGAGACCTTCTCTCCTTTGTGAGAGTTTCCTTTCCCTTTTAGTGAGGGTCTTCAGCTTTTCCTCCTACTCCGGCGCCGACTCTGGCTTCGGCTGGAGTCGGTTGCCTCTTTTCCTTTTCTTCTTCTGTTTTCTTCTCCTTTCCCCTTCTCTACTCTGTTGTTCTCTTTTCCTTTTCTTCTTCTTTTCTCTTCTCTTGATGCTTTTCTTCCTCCTTCCTCTTCCTTCTTCCCTTCTATGTGTGATTGGCTTTCTCCGGGTTTTTCTGCCCATTTGTTCTGGTTATTCCCCCACTGCGACCTCCGATCTCACCTTTCATCGGTCTCGATCTGACAGTCCCACTTCCAACCTTCCTTTTTCTTCTTCTCTCTCACTTTTTTCCACCTCCATGACTCTACTCCAACCATTTTCTACCTTTTCCATTTGCTTCTGTCCTACATCATTCTCACACATGTTCAATTCTGCAACCATCTCTTCCACCCGCGTTGTGCGGTTTTCTAGGAAGGTGTGCAGAGCTTCGGCTCATATGGTGTACCCACCACCACCTTCCACTTGTATGTTGTTTTCGGCTTTGTTGCTGGGGGAAAGTTCTTTCCCTCTAGCTTCTTCCTTTGGTGGCTGCGGTTTCGATTTGTGTGGTGTACGGTGGAGGACGCTGGCGCCTTCTTCTTTGGGGCTGTGTTTGGTGCGATCTCTGGCCTGGGATACTGGATTGTGGTCGACGGCCGGTTCTTCGACGGCGGAGGAGGATGCTAGTCTTGTGGTGTTTTCTGTTTTGGGGCTTTCTCTCGGGTTGGGCTTTTGTTTAGTGTTGGGGGTTCACTTTTTGTTTTGTATTTTCTGTATATTTGCGCCCCTTTGTCTGTAATTGTGTTCTCTTGGTACTGAATCTCATTTATCCAAAAAAAAAAAAAAGTTGAAAAGTATTCCCAACTCAAATTTGCTAGAGAAGTAGTTTCCTATGTGGAGCCACATATTTGGTGCCAACAGGATCCTCTCCGGATCTTTTTGGTGAGGATCTTGGAGATACGTGAATCGTGTCCATTTATCTTACATAGTGCAATTAGTTTTGTTAGGTACCGTTTGTGTTTAATTTTAAATAAAATATTTAAAATGATTTATGACTGCATAATGTATGATGAATGGACACGATTCATGGATCCCTAGAATCCTGACAAAGAGGATATGACGAGGATCTTGATTCTATTTTGTGAAGAACCAAACGACGACGTATGTGAAACGATGTGTATGGTTTGTTTGAGTTTCAGAGAGAAGGATTGTTGTTTATCATTACATTAATATTGTCTTCACTTAAATACTCGTGTAATTAGTAAGTGTGAACGTTTTATATAAAAAACTTGAATGTAATTTAAAATGAAAGTAAAATAAGTTGTAATTGTTTTGCTTGTTCTTAATCCTATAACATTCCTCGTACATGGGTCCGCCTACATTGAATCATATGTAACGGAAATGAAATGAAATAGCCAAATAGGGCATGCTCAGCAAAACCTAAAGGGAGAGAGGGTAGCTTGGGACTTAGGGTTTCAAACCTGTCAATTACTAGGATGGACAAAATCCTTGGCTATTGGATAGCACAAGAATTTCCAACAGTGAGTGATAAATGAGCATTTAGGCGGAATTTCTATTGTACTTTCGGATATTTTATACCCTGATTAAAATTTTCAAATTATAAAATACTCGGAAACCGTAAAAAGTTTTCAAAGTTTAGGCAAGCAAAGAAAATTGGGTAAATTACACTTTCATACCTTAGATTTAGGGTCTATTTCAATTCCTTACAATATCTTCAAAACAATTCACTTTCATACCTTAAGTACTATTTTATTTCAAAATAATACCTCTGATACATTTTCCATCCATTTATCTATTAAATGTTGACGTGGCTGCCAAATGTCTGTCACGTGGCAAATAAAATAATTTTTTAATTTTTTTTAAAAAACCTGAATTTTCTCAAAAAAAGAAAAAAAAATTGAAAAAAAAAAAATGAAACCCACTCCCCTCTCCCCCCTCCCCCCAGCGACCCACATCCCTATCCCTAACCCAAAACCCAAAAAACTTGTTGCAGTAGCAAGCAAGAAGAAGAGGGAGGAAGAAGGAAGGAAAAAAAAAAACCCAAAAAACCCGCCCCCCTGGGGTTAGGATCTCGTGATTTTCAGTATGGGTGGGTTTTGAAAATACTTTGAGTTTGAGATAATTTTTGGATTGGTTTTGTGGTAGATCCACCTAATCTCGAGTGGAATTTTTGTGGGTGATGGGGGATGGGGGAAATGGGTGGCTTGAGTGGGACGAACTAGGGCTTTTTTTTGGGGTGGGGGGGGGGGGAAGGCACTGGTTTCAATATTTTTTTCTTTTTCTGAGAAAATTCAGGTTTTTTAAAAAAAATTAAGAAAATATTTTATTTACCACATGACAGACATTTGACAGCCACATGACATATATGTGGCAGCCACGTCAGCATTTAACAGATCAATGGATGGAAAATGTAACAGAGGTATCATTTTGAAATAAAATAGTACTTCAGGTATGAAAGTGAAATGTTTTAAAGATGTTGTAAGGAATTGAAATAGACCCCAAACCTGAGGTATGAAAGTGTAATTTACCCCTTTTTTTTTCAATTGTTTTTTCTTTTTTTGAGAAAATTTAGGTTTTTTAAAAAAAATTAAAAAATTATTTCATTTGCCACGTGGCAGACATTTGGCAACCACGTGGCAGACATTTGGCAGCCACATCAACATTTAGCAGATTAATGGATGGAAAATGTAACAGAGGTATTATTTTGAAATAAAATAATACTTAAGGTATGAAAGTCAAATGTTTTGAAGATGTTGTAAGGAATTGAAATAGACCCCAAACTTGAGGTATAAAAGTGTAATTTACCCAAGAAAATTTATCACTAACAAGTATGACGTACATATCTTGGTAATATGATGGAATCCTTGTGTACTATTACATAAAATGGGGTCCATGACCAAGGTCTCGTTAATCCATCTAAATATTTACTGTAAATCTCAATTTACTACCCTCAAGTTTCGTGGTTTTCAACATTTAGTACATAAAGTTTTTTTCATTCTAGAGTCATACCCAAAGTGTTAATTTTGGGACAGTCTCATACATCTGTTAGTCTAACTGTTAAGTCTTCCGTTAACTGATGACGTAACGCCCATGTGGACAATGACTGGGCCACGTGTCATTAAGAGGTCCACGTGGAAATTAAAATTATTTAATTAAATATTAAAAACTAAAAAAATAAAATCATTTAATATTTTTTTTTGCATGAGGGACCCACCCCTTATCTCCCTGACGTTTCTTCCCCGCTTTCATCTTCCCCCAACCTAGATCCTACCCTCCCTCTCTCTCATCCCCATCCGCACATTGAAGGTCGTGGGTTGAGGCTAGAATTTGTAGTGGCTGCAAGTGTGGATCTGGGAGTCGCGGGTTTGCAAAAGAGGTGTAGCTGTTGTTCAATTTTAAAGTGGCGAGAGAGACGAGATGCTGAAGGTTGCGGGTTGGTAGCTGCAAGTGTTAGGATTGCGACGAAGTTGTGAGTTGCTTGAGGGTTTGTTTATTTGACTTTGCAGAATGAGGGTTCCTAAGTACTGGATTCCTCAAATTTCTTAACCATGTTGTGACCTTTAGGGGATTGCAGAACCTCGAAGGAGAGACAACCATGTTTTGAAGTCATGGCTTCAACATTCTTGGTTCTTTGATTTATTGCCAGCACCACTGGGTTGCTGTTGAGACGCCGGTGTTGCAAGCTTGCCGGAGGGATCCCCTTTGAAACTGTTGACCATCCTCAACCCAAATCCCACCCTCCTTCTCTTTCATCCCCATCTTCACTACGCAGCGCAGATCTGCCTTTTTTTTTTAAATATTGAAGTGGGCCCATATTGACATGTGGCGCTCAATTATTGTTCACGTGGGCGCCACGTTATCAGTTAACAGAAGTCTTAATGGAAAACTTAACGAATGTATGAAATTGTCCCAAAATTAAGACTTGAGATATGACTCTAGGATGAAAAAAACTTCATGTACCAAATGTTGAAAACCACAAAACTTCAGGATAGTAAATAGAGATTAACCCAAATATTTATGTTACCAAGACTGATGTTTGCTGATTTTGTTCTCTATAGGACTTTGCGATTGGTGGCACGTTGCTGCATAAATAATTAGATTCCTTGCTTCGAAACCGCTATCCTCCTTACGCCAACTTAAGCCACCAACCAAATCAATTTCTACGTTCTTCTTGCATATGGTCTAATATCTTGGTAGATAGGATGTTAGGTTTCTATCCATGCATTTTGAGTTTGAAACTTCTCAATTCTTAAATTATTATAATAATTTCTTACTCTCTTCCTCTCTTTAATAATAATAAATATTTAAAAAAAAAGATAATTTTGCGTCCTTAAAACGGTGGTGCCAACTTGATTTGGTTGGACTACTAAATCCTAGTGTAGCTTGTACGTCGAGACTTCTAGAAAAATTATTAGATCTCCCCGACATAAAATTTAACTCTCCATATCAATAAAGAAATTATGATCTCTGGTGATGTCTATTGTTACTGGGATCACACAAGAAGATTTTTTATTTTTTAATTTTTTTTTACTCTCTTAGGCAAGTGAATTCGAAATAGAATGAAATGGGTTGACTGCAATCTTATTTACGACAACCAAAGGGTATCACTCAGGTTAATAGGTGTAACCCTCATAAGATGTGTAACTCTTTAATGTGAACTAATGCCTCTTTTTCTAGAGTCACGCTTTTTGACTAATAGGCGTATCACATTGATTATTTAATCATTCATAAGTAACAGTTT